GAAAAGGTGGTCAACCTGTTCTTCAAAGCACCTGGAGACAAGATAAGAAACAATGGATGGAAACTAATTAAGGAGAGAACCTGATGCAAGGTTTGTATAAACAGAGGCATAGAATCAAGATCATGTGATGTACATTAGTGCTGCTTTATAAAGCCTTAGTAAGGCCAAACCAGGAATACGGCAACCAAATTTGGTCAGACGTACTACAAAAAAAGATGTTGAGACTTTGGAAAAAGTGCAAAGAAGGGCAACTTTGATGATCAAAGGCCCAGAAACTAAAACATATGAAAAATGGCTGCTGTCAGGATTCCAGCAATCACTCTAATTAAATCATGATTCTCGAGCCAAACTTCAAAAAACTTCAAACAATTTATTAGAGGGATTTATTAGAGGCGACATACCGGCACTGCCCTGTATGAAGCCAACTCTGCATACATATTTTACAGTCACCTGTGACCCTGTTTCCCCTCCTCCCCCCTGGGTGTCTCATAAACCAGATTCTCCAATTGAGCACATTCACAGTTCTCCAATTAAATATGTTTGTGGGCAAAAAAAACTACTAAAACAGGCATAGGATTGTTTTATGAGTTGACAGCTGCAGGATCTGGCTAGTCTAACGAAAAGAAGAATTGGGGGTGACATGATAGCAGTATTCCAGTATTTGGGGGGGCTGCCACAAAGAAGAGGAAGGAGTCAAATTATTCTCCAAAGCACCAGAAGTCAGGACAAGAAACAATGGATAGAAACTAATTAAAGAGAGAAGCAACCTGAAATTAAGGAGAAATTTCCTAACAGTGAAGACAATGAGCCAGTGGAACAACTGTTATGGTTTCCCATAACTTTTTAAACTTCATAAGTTGTGGGTGATCCACCACTGGAGGCTTTTAAGAAGAGATTGGACAGCAGTTTGTCTGAAACGGTCTAGGGTTCCCTGCCTGGGGGTGAGACCAGAAGGCCTCCAATTGTTGCTATACTGTTATTCTGTTCTGTTATTTTGCAGGCTGTCCACTAAAAATGATTCACCCGTTTTGAAGTCTTCTTTAGGAAGCAAGATTTCTGCCCCAGTGATAAGCCAAGACCAGCCAATTTGTTGGAGGAATACATATGTTTTTGACCAAAAGAATGCAGATCTAACCACTGGTAAAAGAGAACAAGTAATGGACAAACCATACAGGGCTGGATTAGAAGGATGAATGGTTTGACAGTTCGTGATGACATCATGGAGAAGATGCCATTCCTTGACTCTCCCGTCTTCTATGACACTGCCCTCTTGTGGGTCTTGCAAGGCTGAAACCACAGTTGTGTATAACTAGAAGGTTACCTAAAATGGCAAAATCTCACCCCTCTCCTCAATTTCCTCTTAACTTCCCTGACCTAGCTGTGTCTCTTATTTAGTAGCATTGGGCACTGCCACTACAATGAAAAGTAAGGTATTTCTTCTGCTGGGGAGAGAGGAACTAAAAGCAATTTCTTTTTATTTTAATCAGCAAGGAGGTGGTTGGATGGAAAATGTACCCATTGTGGGTTTAGGGTACAGTACAGCTTGTGTGCGATCTCAAATGGAAGGATAGATGTCCTTCTAGAAAAACAATATGAAAATTGGAAAGAATGTTCAAAGGAAACTTCCCATCCTTTAAATGTTTATCCATGGTGTTCAGGTAGCACATATGAAAGACAGTGCCACGAACAAGAGTGCTACAAGATATTATTTATTTATTATATCCTGCCTTTATCATTTTTACAAATAGCTCAAAGTAGCGAGCATATTCAACACATCTTCCTTCTCCTATTTTTTCCACAACAACAATCCTGGGACTGACCCAAAGTCATCTAATCAGTTTTCATGCCTAGGGCAGGACTAGAACTCAGCACCTCCTGGTTGTTGGTCTAAAATCACCCAGCTCGCTTTCAAGGCTAAGGTAGAACTAGAACTCACCATCTCCTGGTGATTGGCCCAAAGTCACCAAACCAGCTTTCAAGGCTAAGGTAGAACTAGAATTCACCATCTCCTAGTGATTGATCTAAAGTCACCAAGCCAGCTATCAAGGCTAAAGTACAACTGGAACTCACCATCTCCTGGTGATTGATCTAAAATCACCAAACCAGCTTTCAAGGCTAAGGTAGAACTAGAACTCACCATCTCCTAGCGATTGGCCCAAAGTCACCAAACCAGCTTTCAAAGTAGAAGTAGAACTCACCATCTCCTGGTGATTGATCTAAAATCACCAAACCAGCTTTCAAGGCTAAGGTAGAACTAGAACTCACCATCTCCTAGTGATTGGCCCAAAGTCACCAAACCAGCTTTCAAAGTAGAAGTAGAACTCACCATCTCCTGGTGATTGGCCCCAAGTCACCCAGCTGGCTTTCACAACTAAGGTGGAACTAGAAACTCAACAGTCACCACTTTTCTCCTTAACTTAAGCCAGACCAAACCGGCTCTTGTGGTTGATGAAACATTTTTTCAAGTTAGAAAAGAAACCAAACCACTGTCCGTTCTGTCTTCTTAGCTCCTCTCTCCACTCCCCTTCCTACTTTTGGAGGGATATAGGATTACGAAAGATTTATTTCATTGCATTAGCTTACTATACATGGGGGAGGTTGGGAAGAGCCAGAATGAGATAAGGGGAGGATGAATGCTCTTCCAGTTTGGGGTTATCAATCAACGAAGCTTTATCAAGGAGGGGACGAGGCAGATAAATACCCGTGTTTTATTCCCTCCTACCAACCTTTCCCCGGCTATTCTCTCCAGAGAAGCAGTAGAGAGAGAAAGAGAGAAAAAGAAGAAAACCACGAAGAATCCACGTTATCTCTCCTCTACAGAACTTCTAAACACTGGCTAATTTGTCTTCTCTGCTTATACTTCCAAAGCCACTTTTCTTGATTTATCTTCCTAACAAGAGACGAATACAGCGCGCACAGCTCCCGGGTACAGCTGGAGGCTAGACAGATAATGGCCAAGAGCTTCATTTATTATTATTTTTTCTGGGGCGGCGGGGGGTGGGGGGTGGGATGGCAAACAATTTCTTTTTTTCATTTTCACTTCTGCGGGAGAAAGACCGAGAGCCAGTTTGGTCTAGTGGTTAAGGCACCGGACTCAAAAGCAGGAGACAGTGAGTTCTAGTCCCATTTTAGGCATAAAAAACTGGCTGGGTAACTTGGGGCCAATCCCTAGG